GCCCTACAAGACAGAGCACAGCTATTAACATGCTTAAGGTTCAATTCCACCCCTTGACAAAGTTGTTCAAAAGTTTAAAAAAATAATTTTTTTATAACAATGCTGCTCTGAGCTCCCTACACAGCAGGCCAAAGTTCAGCAAAGGCACCCATGTCCTCCTGGCTACTCAGCCAACAATATGCTCACTCCATGTCACTTGGGTTTAAATGCACATTTGAGAAAGCTGTGGTTTAGCTGGGGTGAGTTTACAGAGCTGCACGACCATGTATGAGGAGCAGCAGCCCTGAGCATCTGAAACACAACACTCAATATGGCAGAGTGGTTTGTAAGGAAATGTGGAGTGGCGGTGGTGAGGACAGCTCTCCACACCCCAAAGAAAGGGAGACACTACCAGGGGACCACCCCATCCTCCATCCCACCCTGCAGGTGAGGAGCTGGAATACAGCAGCAAGCTCCTCTGCTGATGACCCCACCCATGGGGCCTTGGGTTGGTTTGTACATTTCTCCTGATAGTCAAAATAATCAGTCCCTTCTCCCCTTTGCCCTACAAGGGGACTTGATCCCTGAATAAAAATTTCAACAAAATATGTGACAACCCTAGACCTACCTCAGTCCCATCAGCAGGCCCTTAGGTTATCTGAATTCTGGACAGATGTGAAGCCTGCTCTTGCCAATGGCAACCAAGGCCCAGAACCCCCACAATGCCCTCCAAGTTTAAAAGTGCATCTTAGGCCCTGGCTCAGTTGGTAAGAGGGTTGTCCTGATATGCCAAGGTTGTGGGTTCGATCCCCAGTCAGGGCACATCCAAGAAGCAACCAATCAATGCATAAATAACAGCAAATTGATGTTTCTCTCTTAAAAAAAAAAAAGTGCATCTTAAATTAGAAACACCTGTAACAAAATCACCCCCAAACCTTTACTCCAAGGTTAACTAGTGCCTTTGCTTAACTCCAAGTATAACCTTTAAAGCCACCTAGCTGAGCAAGTGCTTAAGCCCCACCTATTAATTTGGTTAAGTGGTTTTCAAATTTTTTTTTTTTTATTCTGTAGATTAAAGACGCTAAATCTTTAACCTTGAAGGGCAGGCAAAAGGTCGGCTATGCTGTCAACATAGAAGTCAGGGACCATTTTCCTTTTAGACATGCAGTCACTTTCCTGATTACTCTTCACATCTCTTAGAGAGGAGACTCCAGTGAGGGTGAGGATGGTCTTTAGGCCACAGGAGACGCCCAGGAGGATGTCTGTGTCCAGGCGATCTCCCACCATGACGGTGCGCTCGGGGTTGATGCCGTACTCCTGGGACACGCAGTCGAAGATGAAGCGGCTGGGCTTCCCTATAATGTCGGCCTGGCGCTCAGCGGCCATCTCCACGGCTCGGACCAGACAACCGGTACCTGAGGGGCGGAGAGGGGAGGGGAGGAGAGCGCCCGAGGTCAGAGGGCTGGAGGGGCCCGCCGCCGCCCTCCAACCTCCTGCCCCGGGGCGCACGGACCCGCGATGAAGCGGCCGTTCTCGAGGGGGAGCCGGTTGTCCATGTTGGTGCCCACGAGCAGGCAGCTGGGCTGCTGCAAGTAACGCACGGCCTTGGTGAGCTTCATGTAGCTGAAGTGCGGGTCGAAGCCCACCACGACGGCGCGCACATCGGGCTCGAGTGGCACGTCTAGCCAGGCGC